GCAAATGCGGGTTATCTCCATCAAAAAGTTCTCCACGAAGGCAAATTTCTCCCAATACTCGGTCCAGGAGTCGATCTTGTCTTCTGAATTGGGTTCAATATTACAAGGCTATGGAGTTGAACATTAGTAGTCGTAAACCCATCAGATTGGGTCGGCTGTTCAATGACGGTTATAAAATGAAATACAAAAATAAATGCATTTATCTTTGCATTTTTCTGGTGCCTCTTTAAAACCTACTTATGCTATATATAAGAGTTCCGCGCAGAGGTAGGTTCTGAATATCTGAAGTAATATAGTTGTCACGAGTGGATAATGTCCTATAGTCACTAGCCTCTCTCTACGGCCACACTTTAGATGAAATGATATCAGCATAATGTCTCATTGGTCAGGTAACAAAAAACATCGTCTTATAAACTGCTGTTTGTAGAAAATGCAACACCATGAAGGAATCATCAGAATCAAATGAAATTCGCAGCAAATGTCAATTATAGGATATTATGCAAATTAATAAAGTTTCAGAGCCATCGCGCGTGCGTGGCGCGCGCAGCGCCCTCTGAATTGATGCTGAAAGCGTATAAATAAAGTGCTGTAGCNTCCTCCTTCTCGAAGGCCGATTATCCTCCCTCGTTCAAACTCCGTAAGTTGCTTGAATTTCTTATTCTTCCGTCGTGGAGGCATACTCAGGTCTCACTAAACGTTTGCCACTAACAAATAATCATAGACTATTTTCAACGTCCCGCTACAGCACTTTATTTATACGCTTTCAGCATCAATTCAGAGGGCGCTGCGCGCGCCACGCACGCGCGATGGCTCTGAAACTTTATTAATTTGCATAATATCCTATATCCATTATTAAAATAATATTTCATTTGATTCTGATGATTCCTTCATGGTGTTGCATTTTCTACAAACAGCAGTTTAGTTCAATCAGCAAATTCTTTCCTTGATGAACTCTGTAACTATGTTTGAAACTTTATGAGAATAAATTAATCTGTCTCTAATAGTTTTAATTGATCAAAAATTAAAGTTTCAAATAATTCAGTTGATAAAAGTATTTAAGATTCTGAATGATTGGCACAGAAATGTGAAAATATTGAATTGAAAATAAATAAATGATTTACTCACCCATGGGTAATGATGTGTTATTTTCTTTTTCCCCGTTTTCAGTCATCAAATCTATACCTAATTCTTCTGTACTCTCATCTGGAAAACCATCCACATCTTCTCCTAAGGAATAACAATTGTTAGTTCCATTTCTAATTAAAAATTTCTATTTTAATCTTTGATTCAGTTTGATTTTTTCAGCAAACTTTTTTCACGTTAAAAGTTATTCTCACAAGTATAACAGGTATATTTAACAAATGAAAGTCACGAAGTCGACATGTTTGCATTCGAAAACGAACACATTACAAAAAAGAATCGGTTTATTATTTATTTTCATTACATTTTTAATTTGGATTCATGAGGAACTATATCTTACCAAAAATTGGCAACTTGAATTATTTTTTAAAGTTGCAAAAACAAATGAATAGTTTGCATTGAGATTTTTATAAATATATAAAACGATTATCTATAAAACGATTTATTTGTTTATCTTTATATTCAATTAGAAAAAGGATTAGCATTTGTAATACTACAGTAAAAATATAATAATTCTAAAAATAATAAAAAAATAACATAAAATATTTTATTGTGATCTAATGTTAGCCTAATTGTCAATTATTATTTTTGAAAGTAAGTTGCTAATTCAAAGTGGAGTCCTCTAGCAATTCGATAAGGAAATGACAAGTTGAAGAGGAAATATTTCACAATTTAGTGTCTCTGTCATATTTTTATTGACTCATTTGTATCTCTTCTTTTCCTGTAATTCTGTTTCCAAATTTTACCATGAACAGAGAAAAGAAAATAATATATTGATGATTTATTGAAAAGCATTTATTAAAAATCAATTATTTAATAAGTATGAAAAATAACACTTATCTTTATTTAGTCCTGTTAGTTTAAAAGGATTATTGTCCACTCTAAACGTATAAATTGGCATTATATTCGCTATAGAGATAGATAGCAAGAAAAAAAATAGAGAGAGCTGACGAAACAGTTAAATCCTCACTTCAGGTATTAATCATAAGAATCCTTTAGGTACTAAGAAATAATGCGCTTACTTAGTTTCCATTAAAACTAAATATCCATTAAAAGAAAAAAAAATATCCAAACATTTTATAAAATTGAAGTAGAAAAAGAAGAAGCGATTATAAGGAATTTCATGAGTTCTGTTGAAAAATAACAATAAAGAAAAAATAAAACTGTTTATGAAAAACAGTATTTTAGCTAATTACCGCAGCGGGGCGTTGGTGTTTCGTAATCATCAACTTTAGTCTATATATTTAGAATCCTTGTCAAATGAAGTAATAAAATATACTCTTTAAGTGTCGCAATCAAAAATTAAAGTTAAGGAAAAAGCCAAAAATGTTATCAAAGTCTGTTAAATTACAATTGAAAAAGGTGAGACAAAAAGCAATTTGATTGCCGGTCAAAATTAGTTTCTGATAGTCGTCTTTCAACTCCTTTTTTGCTTTCTTCGATAAACAGGTTTTGATGTTTTAAGTTCCTCGTTAAAGATTTATTAGGTTCTTGTGACAATTGTTTTTGGCTAAACTATTGATTTTCGAAAACCCTGTTCATAAATTTCCTTACCTAATTTTTCAGAAGGATTTGAAGCGTAAATAATAAGGTCAGTAATTAAGGAATGGCCTGTATAGTGCTCGTTTTTGACAAAAATATATTTAATTAATTAGTATATTTTTCTCAAGAGTTGGTACGTTAAATTCTAATACCTCTAAGGAATATATCTACTAGTTATATCTACTGGATATATCTACTTTATATATCTACAAGAAAATATCTCTAAAAATGAATACATCATTGGTTAAAGGGTCTCGATCGTCGGGCTGAATACGTAAAGTTTCTTTCTCCATGCAATTAAGTGTTAATTTCTTACAGTATCATCAAAGAAGATTTTGCCTCAATTCTTGATCCAAAAGTTTCCGCGTTTTTTGATTTTGGTTCAAAGTGTGAGTTATCGAAGTTAAATGCCATTGCCTGAAATTCATTACTTAATATATTAACGGAAATAAAATTTTATTCAATGCAGAATTATTTTATAATAATATATAAAAAAATTAAATGAGCTGCTGAGCGCGATGTTTAAATGCAGCTTGCGCTCAGCTTCGGTTCGCACTGCAATCTGGTGGTGCAGTCGGTTAGAGGGTCTCTTACTTCGCAGGTGGTCGGGAGTATGATTTTGCAGAACGGCTAAACAACCAGCGTGTGTTGTATACACAGTCACTTGCACATTATGTCCTACGTGGTTGAAAGTTCTCTAGTTGGGGTGGAAGTTGGGAAAGATGGGTACCAGTTCAGGTGCTGTTTACGTCGTCAGACAGAAGTAAAAATTGGATGGTGGTTAAAAAAAGCCCTGAAAAATTGGGTTAAGAGCTTGGTGTCATGATTGATTAGAGTGTGTTGAAACTCAGGAATATCTTTCTACCGCTGAAAAACATCCTCAATGGTAGACGGATCAAGGGTTAGAGTCTCCTTACCGTCAGACTAACCTCGGGATGTTTTCATGGACTCCATGTAACGCAAATGCGAGTTAGTTATAGTTCGATCTAAAAAGTTATCCCCTAAGGCAAATTTATCCAAATACTTGACCCCGGTGGTCCCTTGTCTTTTGGATTGGGTTCAAAATTACGAACTACGGAGTAAAACATTGGTAGTCATAAACTCAAAATTGCGTCGGCTGTTTTACGAAAGTTATACAATTAAAAAAATCAGGAGATAGAGCTTTCGCCTTCCAATGACAGATCTCAGATTCGAATTCACACGTATATCGAATTCACGCACCTATCATAGTGATGACATAAAATATCCTTAGTTGTAGATAGATCATGAGTTGGAAGCCCCTTTCCGTCGGGCTAACCATAGAAGATTTTCGCTGTTTTCCTCTCTAGGTAACGCAAATACGGGTTAGTTCCATCAAAAAGTCGTCCATGAACACTAGTTTGTCCCAATGTTTGATCCAGGAGTCCTCTTGTTTTCTGGGCGGGGTTCAAAATTATAAGGCTACTGAGTTGAACATCGATAGTTGTAAACTCAAGAATTGGGTTCGGTTCTTCAAAGCCGTTTATAAAATCGAATAAAATAAAATGCTCATGAAAAAATCTAAAAACAGTACTGGATGTATAAATCAGAACTGTAGAGTCGGTATTTGAATTGTTCGATTCCGATTTCAACTTATACTCGTATAAAATCTTAGAAGAAATTACTTTTAAATTTCCAAATAGAGTTTTCAGATTTTTTTTAAAAACTTTTCGAAGTCGTGTAATAAAAATCTCACATAGTGTTTACATTGCGTAGTATATACATACATATTAACAATGTAATATTAAAGTTAACTATATATGTATGCAATAATGTTATGTTATTTAATCTATGTACTCTTAGGATATACATATATTGTTTCATTACTACCTTCAAACTTAAAATGTATAAAATTATATAATCCACAGTCTAAATATTACAGTCCTCATTTTTCTCTTTTTCTGAAACTTTCAAATTTATTCTGATTCTATTACGTTGTTGATTTTAAATCGGATAATAAATTTTAGTTATAAATTCGAATTTTACACTTAAGGTATGATATTATTCCAGATCACTATCTTTCAACAGAAAATGTATTAAATTATATGCTTCCCAGTATTAGAATTAGTCCTCAAATTTTTGTCTTGAACATTTCAAACTGATTTTGGATGTATATTTATTAATGTTGATTGCTTTTATATGTTGAGTGATTTCATTTATGTGTTAGGGGGTGAATCAGATTTAGTCTACAGGCTTAAATTTTTAAAAATTGGTGAAGCTATGTGAAAAATAGTGAAATTTCTATAATTTTACAAAGCAACTTTTTCTAAATACTATGAGATGAAAACTTTAAGGTGTGTAGTACAGTTACTTTATTACGTTTACTGGCAAATCTTTGAATCTTTCAATAAGATAAATATGAAAAATCAGGAAGCAAATTAAGTCAGAATATAATTTTAACAAGAAATTTCTCAGAAATGGAGAAACAATCGAAAATAAGTTTCATTCAAGCATAGTTTTCAATTGATTAGTTCTAGTAAAAACTTTCTATTTTGTGAAAAATAATAAAAAAGATGATTCACGAAATGATCTAGATAAGTTGATCTAGATAATGGTGTTCTGTTCGAACCTAAGAGTTCCGTGTAATAGTTAAAAGGGTTCCGATTTGACCTGAAAATATTTACAAAAGAAAGTGGCGATTTAAATAAATAACCGGTCACTTTTTACCATCGTTTTCTTTTTGAAAATCGCTTAATGATAAAAATACATCAATGGAGAAAGACTCCCCAAAAAACAGAATTTTCATTTTAATGTCTAATATCTCCATTCAAAATCTTCCAGTATCCATAACTTTGTGATGGAAAAATTCATGTGGAAGGAGAATTCTTAAACAATTCACATATTTCAAAATAAGGTATACATTAAATGTATTTTTCTCCCTCAAATATTTTAAAATAATTTTTTACAAGCTTATTTTATTATTACAGTATGCTCAACTAAATATTATCATATATTTATAGTACGTTCATTGTTGACGGTAAATTATTTCTTTTGTGATTTTTTAAAAAATATAATTTAATCCAAGCAATAAAAAAGTTTGCAAAAAGTGGCTATTAAATGAAAAGGATATCTGACACCGACTCATTAGGTTTGAGGAAAAATTGGCTACTAAGTTATTAGCGTATAACGGCCACTGGCTACTAATTGAAAATATAAATTTAGTTCCGAGATTTGAGATTTTTTTTTTAAACAGTTTTTTTGTAGCATTTTTGAAATAAGTAATTACATATAGATCCAGCCAATAATCCATTATTTTGATTGCTTCTATTAAATTATATTTAAAGTAAAATGCCAAATGGAGAGAACTGAAATGAAAATTTATGTATATCATTTTTCTAGCAACAATTAACAATTAGGAAAGATTATAAAAAGGACGTGCATTTATAAGAAATTGCAATAGTATTTCACATTGCTCTTTTCATATCAAAATAAAATAACTGAATTCTTTAATAAAGAAATATGTTTCCCAAATAAACGTTTTTCATTTTAAACAAATTATAACAGTTTCTTTTTATATAGCAATATAGAAACGAATTTTTTGCTATGCTATATTCATCTCCAAGGCGAATTCAACTATCGAACATAAAACCTAATTTAAGAGTATTAATGATAAAACGATGAAAAAGTTTCATGAATACTTTTAAATAAAAAAAAGTAGAAAAGTCAAAATATAATAATCTTTTAATGGTTAATACGTAAACAATTCTTTTTATTTACTTTTATTATAAAGTTCAAGTTCGGCTGGATGATGACTGATTATTTAGGATTCCGTAGCAAAAAAGAATTTGAGAACTGCAGATCTAGACACACATCTACATGCAAAGTAGACTTAAGACATTTATACGTGCGTAAGAAAGAAATTTATAAAGTCATCATTTTTCTATGCTTAATAATAAAGCAAATCCGTTATTAAGTTCGGTGTTGTAATGAGGCAAAACGTAACTCATAACGAAGTAGTATCGTCACCCAAAAAAATAATAATTAGAAAATATACAATACAGTATTATTATCTTATTTAAGAAGTAACTAAGAAATAACTAACTTAAGTTTTTTACTATTTCAAAACTGTAGAAAAATTGGTGACGCAAAATTGCCTTTATCCGCCCTGTTATGATTTTCAAGAACAAAAATTGAAACTTAAAAAAAGTCATCTATAAAATCGTTTGCTTAAAAAATAAAGTTCCTTTTCCTACTATCAAACATTATTTTTGAAAGATTAAAGTTATCACGATACTTTTTAAGTTAAAAACTCTCAAATGCTTAAATGAAACTAAATTTAAAATCGAATTTCAAATTTTTAAATTTCAAAGAATCCGTCATCTATAAAATCGTTTGCTCAAAAAATAAAGTTCTTTTTCTTACTATCAAGCATTATTTTCGAATGATTCAAGTTATCACGATATTTTTTAAGTTAAAAACTCTCAAATGTTTAAATGAAACAAAATTTAAAATCGAATTTCGAAATTCAAATTTTTAAATTTCAAAGAATCCGTCATCTATAAAATCGTTTGCTCAAAAAATAAAGTTCTTTTTCTTACTATCAAACATTATTTTTGAATGATTAAAGTTATCACGATACTTTTTGAGTTAAAAGATCTCAAATGTTTAAATGAAACAAAATTTAAAATAGAATTGCAACACATTTACAAAAATGTGAATATTTAGTTTATTTAAAGTTCGTGGCAACAATCAAATAGTGTATTTTTTTCCCTTAACAAGTGATTTTGTATGGCGTTCAATCACAGACTAGAATCGCATTACGTAACATGCTTGTTAAGCATAGTTAATCTTCCTATCAAGTTCGTCTGGGAGGGCTTTTATCTTTATCACATAGGCTAAAATAGCTCTAATGCCAACTTCCTCACTAATGATTTCAAGTGAATGATGTTTCCATTGATACTTAATTTATGATCTCATCTTAAATAAAGTATTCTGATCAGAAAATATTTTATGAATCTCAATTAAAACGAATCAAAAGTTTTTTTCCGAGTAATTTTTATCTTGGTTTAAATTTACTTTATAAAAAACAAAGAAAATACTTTTTTTTAAAAACAATTTCCTTAAAAAAAAAATAAAAAATCTGACACATTTTACTCAGAACTATCTAAGTTATGAAAAATAAATATCTGCCAACGAATGACGTTGTCATTGCAATTTAGTAATTAGAAAGGGGAGGGGACTGGTATACTTTCTTCCCTGCTTATCAGAAGAAAAACTTGGAACGAGTTTTGAAGTGTTAAAAAAAAAAGATTGAAAGTTGAACTCACTTTTAAGAGCTCGTGGTTTCGCTTGTTTCCTTCTGGACATATTATCGTCTGATTTGAATAAAAATTCTCCAAACGATATTAATCGTAAACGATCGTGGATTGTCCGAAAACGCGGGAAATTGCGTCGATCCGACGAACACCTGAACGATACTCCCGGTTCTCAGTTGACGTCTCATCTAACGGAATAAAAGCGGTCTCTTGCAGACGATCATCTGTCCGGCGCGATCGGTGGTTGCGCACATCCCTTTTCCCTTCACCTTTCCCAGAAGTCTCCCTCCACTCCGCACCACGTGCTCAAGAAACTCTTTGATTTCAATTATATTTTGATGAAAAAAATTTGTTTGTATAAAAAAAGAGAAAAATAAATTGTTTTGAAAGTTTTTCATGAGAAACTTAAATTGACGGAGTCGTTGGAAATGTTCTTTTTTTTTGCAGATTTTTCTTTTTGATTTCCTTCCACCTCAGATTTCATCATTGAGCAAGTGACATCATCAAAAGAGAGTTTTGTCATTGGCCCTTTTATCTTACAGTTCAATGGACCATTTTAAAATTTTGTTTTGTTCTTTCTGATTGATTTTTAAGTGGATGTTCGAGTAGTGGATGTTAGACAGTGGACGAGAATTTTTTTTCAAATAATATATATTTTTTTTAAAATTGCAGTTTTGAAAAACAATTGCGACCTTCAATTTTGATAAATCCTTGCTGTTTGTTGGCTTAGTAACTTCAAATAGGTTTTAACAATATTTTGGCTTTTTAACAATGTTTGCGAATGAACATAATTTGATAAAAAAAAATCTATAAAATCGATGATTAATATATTTAATAAAAATATAAAAACGGAATAAATCTTTTAACCATAACTCGAATAGTATTTTAAGTAAATGAGACAATTTATTTAGCTAAAATAATATAAAAATGAGAAAGTTTCCGAAAATTCTTTATTATGAGGAAATTTGCAATTTCCCATTATTTTATTATAATTAGAAATGCGGTTACTGACATTTTATGAAAAGGATCGTGAATGATTATGCCCAAGTATTTTGAATGATATTAACTAAATGACAATGATATGCAACATATCCGAGTAACTGGATGGATTTTGGCGATAACATCCTGAACTTTGAATGCAACTCAAAATACAGCGGATGTCAAATAAATGGACTAATCGGAAAACTGTTTCGAAGAAATAAATCCGATTTATTTATTTATTTTTTGGCTCGGAGGAAAAAACACTAAAACTTCTTACGATTAATTCTTTAATAATTTAACTTTTTAACACTTGATTCACCAAACGCAGTGGATATTTTATGTCTGTGCACGGTGTTACGTCAAAAAATATAAATACACTGAAGGTCTATGGATCAACCTGTTGTAACAAATATGGATAGCTTGGGTTGAAATCGAAGATTATGGATTCGACCATCTCCCAAAATTCAAACTTGAGAATGAAATTGCGGAGTAAGAGACCCACGAAAATTGATTTTCGGACTGATCTGGGGGAGGTTGACTATTAATTATTATATTTGTAATAGAGCAACTCTTAAGAATTTTATTTGCTTCACAACAAAATTTAAAAACAATTTATAAGACCATTTGTTTATCTGCATTCATGAAAAATTATGTTACACCTTATATGTTAGATCATAAAGTATGAAATGTCTTGTAGTGTAACGTATCAAGCTATATTAAGAAACAGTTCTATGTTTTATTTAAAAAAAAACACGTATTTCACACAACAACAAATACAGTGACATATAGTACCCGTAACGGGATAGTTAAATCTTATAAAACAAACTAGAAAAAGAGCCCGTAACGGGATATATGAAAACTCACCCGTAACGGGATAGATAAAATATTATAAAACAAACTAAATAAACCTGTAACGGGTTATATGAAAACTCAAATTCCACAACAAAACCTAATCTCTAAAAAATGAACAACTCTCTGCTGTTCTACCAAAAAGTCTTCTAATTTTATCGTCTGCTTTTATTTTATCGTTTATCTCCTTCTGTGTTTATTTTATTTTATTCATGCTTTTGCTAGCCCGTTATTTTTTAATATTTTTACTTTTATTCATGCTTTAGATAGACAGTTATTTTTTTAATATTTTTAGACTTTATAGTAGTGTATGTGAATTTGGTTTATTATATCTCAGTGCTTGATTTGTTGAAGTATTCACCAAAATATTATATAAGATTTCTTTATTTTAGTTTATTTTTGACACTTGCAAAAACGCAAACTATGTTTGCAAATTTTGTTATTTCTATAACGTTACTCATGTGACTTATTGCTGGTTAGTCCCTTGAAAGTTAATTTTTGTTCTGTACTTACTAATCTTGCGTGACTGCTTAATCCCAAGTCTTGAAAAATTTGGTCTAAATGGTTGACAATCATATTTTATTTTATGACAGTCGTTGAACAGTCGACCCAATTTTATGGGTTTACGACTACTAAAGTTCAATTCTGTAGCCTTGTAATTTTAAACCCAATCCAGAAGACAAGGGAACTCCTAGATCGAGTATTGGGGGAAATTTGCCTTCGTGGAGGATTTTTTGATGGAGCTAACCCGCATTTGCGTTACATGGAGAGGAAGACCACGCGAACCTCCCTAGGTTAGTCTGACGGCAAGGGGACTCTAACCCAGGATCCGTCTACCTCTGAGGATATTTCACGTCAGCACTGTGGTCGGTGCAAACCGGATGCGGAATTCGTATCGACTAGGATTCGAACCCGGTTCGCCTCATTGGAAGGCGAATGCTCTATCCCCTGAGCTACAGCGGCTCTTGAGAATCATATTGTAATTATCAGACCAAACTCTAAAAGGCACGCCTGCGATACAAGTTACACAAACCGTTTCCTGGATACTGAATATGAGTGGTAACGCCACCAACAGATTCGTTTGTACTAGTTGATCCTGTGTTCACAAGTCATAAAGGAATTAATATCTTATGTTGGCAAACCGTTTCTTCAGAGCTATGCATTGACTTATTGAAATTACTTACATATGCAGGCTTGTGTGCTCAATATAGGCTTATAAACCTTTGCAAAGTGGAAGAACATATAGAACAATTCAGAGAAGAACATGACAAAAAATACATCCAGGGTTAAGGTGGGATTCGAACCCGCTACCTCCACGCTTCGCACTGAGTTTGGTGGACGATACCGTTCGGTCAGGGAGGACCCACTCTGCATTGAATATACGGTATAATTTATTACGATATAATTTATATGCAGACTTGTGTGCTCATTACAAAGTACGGCTTATAAGCCCTAGTATGTTGAAGTATTATTTTCAGATCATCCTATAGAATGCGTCTCAGACTGTCACCAATAGCCCGTTGTGCAGCTCTAGTGCGACGTACTACTCCTTCACTTTTACCAGAAGTTCCGGTTAGCCTGTTTTTTGCTTTATTTTTAAAATACGAAATTTTTTATGCTTTGTACTTTAATTACGTCGCGTTAGAGCTGCACAATGGGCTATTGGCGACGGTCTGGGAAGCATCCCTGAGGTAATCCGAAGGCATGCTATCGCAATTTTGATTCTCAGCAGAGGGATAGCTCCTCTGCTTTTGGTAGCCGACCATCTGCTCACGAAGTTGAGCACTTTACGGTAGAACAGTTTAGCGAAGACCGATACAGCGCACCCTTGGTCCCTACGCAGGCTGATCAAAGTGGTCACTCATCTATTTACTGACAGCAGCCAGTGATGCTGGACTTCGGTGTTCTACTGAGAACCATGTCTATCAACCCACTGCGGGAAAAAAATTTTTATGCAATTTCTGATTCCGAATTTTGCCTATAGTCTAGAAAACTTGCAATGCAAAGCCAAATGCTACAAATTTGTAGCAAGCTTCCCGTTCATCTGTTTGCATTTTACACGATAAATTTTAATTACTTCAAAAATTACGTGGTGGGTTCACCCTGTTCAAGCAACCTTGTCCAAACGCCAAACGTTCAGTGGCATGGAGGTAGTGGGTTCGAATCCCATAGTAACCCTGGATATATCTTTGTGATGTCCTTCTCTAATTTGTGCTATCTGTTCTTCAAATTTATAAGTGCTTATAAGCTGTACTTAGCTAAGCTCATAAGCTTGCATATGTATGTGTAACTACAAATACAGTAGACCCCGATTAACCGCAGAATTGGGTGGCAAGGGCACCGCGGATAACACAAGTCATGAATAATCCCGAAAGACTCAAAAAGCAAAGTGGAAACACGGAAAATAATTTTAAAATGTATTCATGCATGTCGATATATTTTAAATTTTTAACATAAATTTCTGTTCTACATCTAAATTACTGTTGTTGTTGTTAATTTACGTCACACTAGAGCTGCACAATGGGCAATTAGCGACGGTCTGGGAAACATCCCGGAGGATGATCCGAAGACATGCCATCACAATTTTGATCCTCTGCGGAGGGGATGGCACCCCCGCTTCGGTAGCCCGACGACCTGCGCGCGAAATCGAGCACTTTACGGTAGTACAGTTTAACGAGGACCAGTACCGCACACCCTCGGTCCCTCCCTACACAGACTGATCCAAGTGGTCACCCACCCGACAGTAGCCAGTGATGCTTGACTTCGGTGATCTGCTGAGAACCGTGTCTTAACGATCAGTCCACTGCGGGACTCTAAATTACTGAAACAATGAATTATAAAGGGAAGAAAATGATATACATACTACATGAAAGTGTTCAGTTACATTTTTACTAAATCAGTCACTCGTTTTTGCTTTGTGTTCTACTGGAAAAATTTTCTTCAAGGAACAATGGAAGTGGATGTATCTTCGAAATATGCAGCAGCCTGGTTGAGAAATTCGCTAATTGAGTAGTAGAGTTGCATGAGTAATTAGTCACATTATTCAATTTTTTTAAAATCCAAAATCTTAGAAAATGACAATATTATTTTATACGTCATTCATTTGTTTCTTTTTCTTTCTTCACTTGGTAATAGTTTCAAGGACGAAATATTTTGCAAATTTGTACACGAATGATACGTATTTGAAAATTTAAAGTTGGATTTTATATTACAACTTATTTATCCCTTTTTCTTATTTATGTTCATGCTTTTTTTATTTTATTTTTTATTTAAAAAAAATTAGTTTTTTATTTAAAAAAAATTAGTTTTTTATTGAAAGAAAATTGTTGCTAAATAACGTCCTATTTTACTATACTCTACACTCACCATCCTAGATTTTAGTTCAAAGTTTTAATTTTGGGTTTTCCCGATTTTTTTTTGTATTTAACAAATTTTTGATGATATAGTAATATTAGACTGCCTAACGACTTTCAAAAAGTTAGAAAATCAAAGGGTTGCTCTTTTAGATTAGGACAAATAGCG